GCCCAAAATTATCCAAAATTCGGAATACCCAGTACAGGGTCCAGGGGCAAAACGGTAATTTTTCGGTCCCGGGTCGAAATTCCATTTTTCGACCGTACCAACCCCAAATGTGTGTGGCCACTCAAAAATGACGTCGACCTCGCAAAATAGTCGCAAACACCCATAGAATTTCGACATCGAAATTCGGGTCCAATTTGGCGATCAAAATTGCTCAATACAGAATTTTAGAGCCTCTCACTGACGGGTGGCTGTTTAGGGGTTACGTGTATCGACCTAGGGTCACTCGAGTCGTGACGGTCTCGATTATCGGGAGAACGCAAGGAATTATTGGTTATTCCAGGAGTCACGATCGTTCGGTTCAGGTTCGGGATTTATTTGCCACACGCACTCTCGGTCGAGCGGAATCATCCGCGATCCGATCGTACGTCGTTGACCAAACCAGATCCGTCACCTTCCTAGAATGGGTCCACACTGGCCCAAAATACTTCCCTGCCGTTTCTCGTAATCGGCGCCCGATTCGCAATCGGGTCCCCGGTCCACGTACCGTTTTCCTAGTTAGCCTTTCCCATTGGTCAGTATCCCGCGAGGGGCTAGCTCCGGGCGAGACGTACTAAAATCAACTGAGAAATAATATCCACTTTGTCGGATCCCGGAAATGGGTCGAAATTCAGGATGTTACAACTCTTCCCCCCTTATAAAAATTTCGTCCTCGAAATTTGCAATTCAAGCTTATCTCCTCAAACAACTGGGGGTTTGACGTCATAGGGCCTCTTCGCTTTCCCAAACGGCACCTTCTGTCCTTCGGTGCTCCCATTCACTTTGATAACTGGGACTGGCTTATTATGTGGCCCATGATCCTTTCTGTCCTCAAGCCTCATCGGCCCTTTCACGTACGACACTTTATCGTCCACGTCCGTTTCCCCTTAACGTGGGTCATATTTGGTTCATACTTCTTCGACGTCGTCACATGGGATGCATCATATACTTAGGACAGATTAGGCGACGAGGCAATTTGCTAGATCATATCTCCGATCTTTTCCCGAATATCGAACAATTTGACATGCCTCGGGTCAACTTCCCTTTTCTGTCAAATTAGGATAATCTTTCCATTGAGGAACACTTGGGCTGCCACTTAGTTCCCAATCTCAAGCTCTAAAAGTCGTCGTCTCCGATCGTGTGACCTTTCTGATGACTCTCCTTATCTGTTCGACTCAAAGTCTGTTCACAATGTCAGGAAGTACACTGACTTAGTCAGTCTATCAACTGCTATTCCGATGGAATCGGGTTTTCTCCGACTTCACTTTGATCCTGTTACAACATCCTTGGGATCATATCACATTTCCATTCAACGGTCATAATAGCCTTCTAGGCTTACCGTGCTGTGTCTTCACTTATAGGCACTTCAAACACTTGGCCATATACTTGGCCATATTTACCCTCATTCTATTCCACCAGTAATGTTGCCGCAAGTCCTAACACATCTTAGTGCTGCTCGGGTGGACACTATACTTACTGCGGAAATTTCCATTCAAATTTTTCCTCCTCGAGTTTCACCTCATCGGGTACACACAATCATTCCTAGAACCTCAAAATTTTTATCCCCGAATATATGGAAATCCAACTTCCTCTTATCGGCATCCACCTCAATGACTCTTCGTATCTCGTGATCCACATAATGCCATTCCTTGTTCTGGGCCTAGATTTCCAACTAATCCTCGAGGCGGTCAACAGATTCTACATCCGGTTCACCTCAAATTTAACTTCTGAGTCCCTGAGTCTTCCCAACAAGGTTCATTCCTTGATCACCCTATACACCCCAATCGACTCACGACTTAGCACATCTAGTATTCATCTAGTCATTCTCTGGCGACACCGAACATCGCAATCAATTCTCCATCGTGCATTAGATAAATCCTCTCGTACGACCTCAGCTGTCGCGACTCATATGCTACATCCTAACGTGTCACATCAATATACACCCAAATCCACGACCTTGTGGCGTGCTCTCCCGGCCCTGCTCTGGCCGGATAGGGACGGCGCAGAGCGGCGCCGCCGTGCGTCACCCTGCGGCCAGAACAGGGGCAAACAGGGGAGGCCACAGCGACGCTCGACGGGGGAGGAAGAAGGAGAAGGGGAACTGGGCCGGGCTAGGCCCAGCCGCGCGGAGAAAAGAAAAGAGAAAAGAAAAGGGCTGGGCCGCGTGCGGGGAAAGAAAAAAGGAAAAAGAAAAGGGCTAGGTCGGCCCGGCACCGACTTGGCCCGACTCGATTTTTTTTTTTTTGAAAAAAAAAATTTTGCAATTTTTTTTAAAACAATCTAATAGACCCTATTAATATAAATGTGCCTAATTTCTATATGTAATGCATTTAAATAGAAATATTTTTTTGTTTTAGGAATTTAAGAAAATTAACTCCTAAATTTTGTGCAATTAATTTTGGGCAAATTAAAAATAGGTGTCAACAAAATACATCTTTCATGTTAGTAACTTTAGATTGCATATTCATTAAAATTCACTTAGAAATATCTCTCGGATTGCATTTGCATTTAATGCGCATCGATTAGATTAGATTTAATTTCCTCTTCTGCACAGTTCGCCTTAGGAAAATATTTTGCATGAGTTATCAAAATATATTTCACATTCTAGACTTGGGGATTACATTTCATGCAGTGTAAGTTAAATTACTAGGTGAAAAATTTTATTTCCATTTTTGGTGACACATTTTAGGAAAGTTATTTATTTAGGACATTGTTCTTGTATAGCATGTGATAATTGCATATCCACTATCCTTTGTATACATTTGACTACTTAGGGAACAAGCATATACTTTATATTTTTTCGCTCACGGGTCCTATCCTGGAGCATAATAACGAGGCCATGTTTACTTATTGTCCAAGATGGCTCGGGTTAATTTCCTTATCTTTATATTTCACGATACGGCTCGGGCTGTCTTTTTATTAGTTGATTTTCTTATATGCTTATTATCGTTTAATATTTAGCATACACGAATTTTGAATAGGGCACACCCATTTACTCAAAATCACAAGTTGAAAGATCCAGAAAAATTTTTTTTGATTAAAGAGGTATAAGTCGAGCCTTTCCTCAAATCCCGAGGAGTAGTTATCCGAACCCGATCCTGTTTTGTTCATGAGATTTTGTTGGAAAATAAATGCATCACTCGTTACCACTAGATCTAGGGCATATTCATGCATAACTCACGGTGGTCCTCTCCCAGGACATGTTCACAAGGTCTTGTATTAACTTTGCTTGATACGGCTCGGGTTGTTTATTTTTTATACCTTTATTTGTTTTTATTACTGATTGTTTCATTTTATCGCTTGCCCGGGTATGCATGGCCATATAGGTTTCCATGTTTAGGAAAAAAAAAATCAGAAAAGATTGCATGAAATAATGTATTATTTAAAGAGAAAAGGTACCATAACAGGCACTAGGCAAAACTAGCGTAACCGAGTCCTCGTACCCGAAATTTCTTGTTCACAGAAGTAAGGCAAGCTCCATGCCGTACTCAGCTCCTAACCAGCTCAAAGTTGGTTAGTGGCAACTCTAATTTAAATTCGATGAATCATTGAGATGAAGTTGTGGTAAGTAGTGCTTAAGAGAGTCTATGCAAAGCGTAAGCACTGACTCGCCAAAGCGTTATATATGCCCGCTTAGCAATCCATTAAACTCTCTCGGGGTTCACTTTGAGAGGATCGTGATAATCTTATTACCCACTTTAAAGCTCCGCACAAGTCAGTTTCATTGCGGTGTTGTCACTGGTCGCGACTCTTCGCCTCAGCTCTCAAATGGTGATTTCACCGTAGGCCTGAATAAATTTTCACCGGGACCGATTGAATATGCACAACGCACATTCTTAAACAAACATGAACTGCGAGCGCAACATACTGTACAAAACCACTCTGAAAAATGGGCAAAAACAATAGAAGATGAAATTTACGATGAGGAATATACGAATGCACCGAAATATATCGACACGAGGAAAAAAAAAAAGGTCACAAGTAACGTGATAGGGCTTCCTTTTTCTCCAAGGCACGACATCCTTAATTTTAGTTCTTTTCTTCTCCTCTGTAGACCCGCACGGTTCAAAACGAAAGTGCGCTACTTTTCACATGACACCAAATGCTTCCGCATGGTGAGCCGAGACTTACCATGAAATAGTTCGTCGCCACAGAACTGACAAGCAAAAGCGTTACGATCCTCTCGTCACTTCCCTTGAACTGTAGCTTCGAGCTGAGTAGTAAAAGCGCCGAGTCAGTCACTTGCCAAATCTCGCATAAGTAGGGACTTCCACTTTTGAGTGGGGGCAGTTGCCCCCATATTTTAACAATATGCAGCACCGCCACAGGGGAAATCATCGAGCAAGTACAGTCCTGAGGACAGAAGTAAGTAGTTGGCGGAAGAAGTTTTCCTGCCATTTTCATGGGGTAGAAGTTAAACATTGCGCTATACGGACGGGTATAAAACATAAATTTTCTTTTATATCGGTACTATTGAAATTAAGCCTGAAAATAATGTTATCACAAGTCCAACATTAATCGCGTTACAAACTAGTCAGTAAAACTTGCATATAAAAGCATACCTATCTTGTTTGTAATTTTTTATAAAAATATCGCGTATGACGATTGATTTTATTTTTACCTCGTGCTACCTAATGTCATGCTAAAACAATATTATATTTGCTTATCTAACTACGAGAAGATGTAATTATAAGTGCAAAGTCCGCGATTACATGTTATAATTGACATGTCGCATATTTATTTGATTAACAAAAATGTATAAAACGAGTAAAACATGAGTTATGTTTACCTAAATACAATACAAAATGTGTTTTATACATGTATAATTCGTTTTACTCCAAACTAACGGGTATTTTGTCTTAAATTCAGAAAACGTGCGCAAGACAATATATTTTGCAAAGCCAACTCCCAAAAGGTGCAAAACTACCAAAAGTGAAATTTGTGAGGAGGAATATACGGTTGCTTTAAAATATATTCTCCTGCAAATAAAAGTTCCAAAACCAAAACAGAAAGATACAAGTAACTAACGTCATAGGAGTCTCTTTTCTTCCCAGGCGCGGGATCCTTATTTTAGTTCTCTCTTCTTCTCTGTGAGCACGCGCAATTCAAAACAAAAATCCGCTACTTTCACATGACCCCAAATGCTTCCGCCTGGTGGTGACGGTCTTTAATATTTTAATTTCGCACAAAACTACTTGAAATTGAGATAATGGTGTCTAGACTTACCGCTAGCGGGACATTTCCGATGACTCTAACTTTCTCCTCTAGGTTGCCGAGGCGGAGAATCCCTTCAGGAAAACGCCTTAAACTCTCGCAGCCAATAATTTCAAGCACTTTGAGCGAAGAGAAATTATAAATCCATTCGGGCAAACTCGTCAGATTGTCACATAATTCAATCTGGAGAAATTGCAAAGTAGTGACATGTTGAATCCCTTATGGTAATGTCACCAGTTTCGGAAGTCGTCTGAATCTAAGAACGCGGAGTTTCACGAGAGATCGCCACTGGATGCCATGCTTGTCATCGTGGCTCGACAAATCGAGTTCTTCACAAGCATCAATAACAAGGTGCTGGAGTGAGGACAGGTACTGCATGCCACGAGAGAGACTCTTTAGTTTGGGGTAATCATTGAGGCTCATGGACTCGAGATTATTAAGCACCGGAAGTAAAGTCTCGAGCATTGAGTGCTCCAAATCACCACCAGCAAAATGTAGACCCTTTAATTTAGAGAGAGGGATGAACGTGGATTCCACTGGTGCTTTTGATTGACAATCTAGAACGGCCATCACTTGTTCCAACAACTCCGCGCTAGCAATGTTCAAGTATTCTATCAAGGGGAACAGTGGCACTGAATTCAGGTGTGGACAACCCAATATTGCTGCAGACAAAAGTTTTGCGAAGGATGGTTGTAGATTGTACCGTGCACGATCCTGATCTGCTCCCACCATTTGCCGTCTTCCCCACCAGCCTTTTAGGTTGCGAGAGTCGAGGAGGGATAGTCTCTCCAGAGATGGGAAGAAGGGCCGCGTAGTATTAGAATGCTCTGGGTAACTTATTTCTTGAAGGAACTCCAACGCATCCAAGCCCATGAGATTCAACGTCCTTAGGGAAGGGAATTCACTTAGGGATGGTAGGTGGCTTAGTGAGTCACATCCATTAATTAAGAGGTGTCTCAGGTTGACCAATTTCTTCAAATCTCTTGGAAGTGTTTTAAGATGCTTGCAATTGGAGAGTTTAAGGGTCTGTAAGTTCAGCAAATCTGTGATTGAATTTGGCATACTCTCCATAGATAGGTTTTCAGAAATATCAAGATATCTCAAGTGCTTGGACCGATTTCCCAAGGAAGTAGGGACACCAAAATGCGCATAGCCCAAGCCCAACACTCGACAATGCCTAAACTTGGAGAGAATCCCATTCTGTACAAATGTTCTGCTCTTTTTCAGGGAGAGAAATGTTCGTAGATTGTTCGGTTCAAGAATAGAGGTCACTTCTTGTGGTGAAGATGATTGTGAAGCAAATGATGCATGTCGAATTCCCCCATTGATGCTGCCTTCATTTAGATTAACAATCTTGCACTCATCTCCTGCAACTCTCAAGGCAAGATCGTGCATGAGATCGTGCATCTTGAACATTTTCACCTCACCAGTGTAATCATCAACCGTTTCAAATTCGAGGAAGGACCTACTTAGTAGGTCCGAGACATAACTATCCCCAGCTCTTCTAGTTCCTCATTCCCCTCCAATGACTCAATGAAGCCTTGTGCCATCCAGAGTTGTATCATTGTCTGTTTATCAAAGACATAATGTTTTGGAAACAACGCGCAATATGCAAAACAATGTTTTAAATGCGACGGAAGATGATCGTAACTAAGCTTGAGGACTTCCATAATTCCGTGTTCCGACTCATCTATTTTTGAAAGTTCATGGTCTTTGAATTTGAGCCACTCTTTTTCCTTTTTGGCGTATAGAAGGCCACCCATTGTTTTGATGGCAAGGGGAACACCAGCACATTTTTTAACAATATCTCGACCTATCTCCTCCAATTTAGAGTCTAATGATTCTTTCCCATCTCCAAAAGCCATTTTCTTGAACAAGTCCCATGCCTTATCTTCAGATAAGCCATGTCGATCATGGACAACTGAATTCTCATCCGTTGCCTGCACAACCGACCGACTGCGCGTGGTTATTAGTATCTTGCTTCCCCTTGAACCGCCCATTAGCAATGGTTGGAGTTCCAACCATCTCAGGCGATCATCATTCCACAAGTCATCCAAAACAAGCAAGTATTTCTTCCCATCTAATACCTTAGGAAGGAGCCTCTGCAGCTGGTCCTTAGATATATTCTCAATGCCTTCCAGATTTCTCTTCATCTCAGGATCCTCTTGACACTGATCTTTGGCAGATTTCAGTATTTCTTTGATGATCAAATCCACATCAAAGATTTTAGGATCCCCATGACACACCCACATCTTAAGCTCGAAAAAGTCCTTCACCTTTCCATCGTTGTATACCAGATCAGCAAGCGTGGTTTTTCCCAGTCCTCCTATACCGACGATGGAAACAACTGACACACTCTCTCTGCAGGAGGAATCAAGCAAATGTGCGATGATCTCCTTCTTATCCTCTTCTCTACCAATTATTTCTTCCTCGCGCGCAAAAGAGTGAGATGTCCTCCTCCTCACAAAAGAAAGAGTTGCCTCACTAGGATGCCGCTCTAAGTTTAACTCCCTATGATTTTTAACCTGATCCAGTTTCTTCCTAAGTTCTTGAATCTTATTAGCCACTTTGAGGCGGTATGCAAGCTGATTTGATTTAGAGAAGAAAATGTGTACCACTTTCGACATCTTGTTGCCGGAAGTGACCTTCCACCTCAGATCTTCGGTTGCGACATCGTCGAGCAAGTCCTGTACGTCGTACAATACGTCCTTGAGCCTCTTGAGCCAGAGCTTGACCTGGTTGTTGTGCCACTGCTGCTTCTCGGCATCCAAAAGCACTGCATGGATGGTCTGGACGGTGTCCTCAAGGCTTAGGAGTTCGTCCTTGGCACTGCAGAGCAACTGGATCTTCTGAGAAGCGAAGGAGCCTCCAGGTTTCGCCATTTCGGCGGTGAGGCTTTTCAGTATGTCAGTGGCAAGGCTGAAGAGAACTGCTTCCGCCATTTGCAAAGGCAAAAGCTGGGGCTGAGAAGTGTTTGAGAGAAGGTTGCAGAGCTCAGGCTGATGTTGGGAGACAATTGTCGGGTGCTTCCTCATGATCAACTTCAGGCACGAATATATAGCAAGGCCAACGGCATCTCCATGTTACTTCATGCTAAGTTACTCCACCAGATGAAATAGCATAACTTGCAGCAGAGAAAAGAATAGCGTGGATCAGTTGTTTCTTTGTAATTAGCCCAAAGTGCATACACATGGAATAACTTTAAGGTTAGAATGACAGAAATGCCAAAATCATGGGTCCCACGTTTCTCTCTCAGTTTTGTCTGATCAGAAGACTCGGATTCAAGTTCAACAGCTTCTTCCTTAATCCTTAAGCCTCTCTTGATTCCAAGTTCACACTTCGTCTCTCTCTCTCTCTCTCTCTTTGTGCCGGAAAATATGCATGGCCGGCCTCGGACGGCTCCGAAGCTGGAAGATGCAGCAGCATCAACCACCAAAGCCCAGAAGCTAACAGCTCTTCAATCCCGGTTTCTCTCTAAGCACCGCAACCACATCACATGCACAATCTCTCTCGCTGAAAAGATCAAAAGCGTCGTATCACCGGAACGATTTTGATCGGGTGTTTGAGTGATGCGATTTTGCTCTCAGATACACGAAGGAGGCTCTCGACATGAGCGCGAAGCTCCTGGAGATCAATCCCGAGTACTACACTAATTACAGGAAGCTCGCGGTTGGGCACAATTCTCTCCCCCCCCGCCGCTCGTGTGTGCGTCTCTGTCCGCGTCCACCACCCCTCACCGCCTCAAGCTCCCATCCCGCGCCGCTGTGATCACTCGGATGAGTTTGAAGACGAAAAGCTAGATATGGAGATGCGAGATATGATGCAGTGGATGCGGCTGCGGCTGGGGAGTTTCATCGCACAACATCTGGGCATGGTGGTAAGTTGAGAGTGAAGAAGCCGAGCCACATGACGAGGATGATGCCGGCCGATGCTCGGCCCAATTATTAGTGAGGGTAACAGTGTACCCCGTCAAGTTGTGGACGGGGTGATGATGCCAGTGATGGGTCACGACGAGCATTAAAGATTCGGACAAGGTCTTGACTCTTGAAGCCTGGATCGAGTTGATTGAAAATGGCAAGAGCGGAGCTAGGGGCGGCGAAGGCGGTAGCGCGCACCCCTCTCACTCTCTCACTCAATCTCTCTCTGTATGCCCGATCTCTCTCTCTTCCATATCTCCTCTTCGCTGGCAACTCCCCGTGATTGGAAATGGAGGCTGCCGCCGAGCCCTCACAACCTCGGATCGAGGTTCATCCCGTTGACTACCTCAAACAAGTCTCGACCCAAGCAATCATGGCAGATCCATATGCGGAATCAGCTGAAGACGTAATCAAGTTCACCAAAGATCTTGCTGACAGGTTATGGAGTCTCTTTCAGCTATTCTGCATTTGTTGTATCACGTGGTTTAAGTGTTTACCTTTCATGTAGCTTGTTCTCGGTTATCACTCTGTACCTACTGCATTCTTGTTGTTCATCTAAGTCAAGGGTTGATGTATGTTTACGCTTCAGTATTAGGATTAAGTGAGAAAAAATGACTCTCAGATTCTTCTTTTATTGCAGAAACATTGGATGTCTCTTGAAACATTCGTTACTTTCATTGGAAAACTTTCATTGGAATTATCATCTTTAAGAATATAATGTGGCGTTCTTGATTAACACGACTTTGATTATTTCATTTCTTGGAAATTTTCGAGGCAGGGTCAAAGCGAAATCAACACACCGGCTCTTCCCCATTTAACGAGATGTCGTCAAGATTCCGAGTTTGCCAAACTCTCTCTAGAAGCACAAACCCTTGCAAGGTCGGCATAGAAGACTCGCACGAATGCGGGACGAGCGAAGCTGATCATCCTGACCCATCGACTAGCCACAGGACGCAGCGCCTTCACGTTGGCCTCAACACTATGCAGATCTCCTTGAACACCTCACTACGTTATTCGCTTCCAAGTCTCTACATTCACATTGCCCCGAACATGAGAACCCCATGGATCGAGACTGACGAAGCACCTTTTTGTTTTTTCCTTGTTGAGCTATAGTAATGCTATTTCAAAGCATATATTTTTTGGTTGCATTAAGTTCAGATAATAGTCTGCATCACACTTGAAGATATATCTTGTTAAAACATCATTGTATCTTCTAAATAATATCTCGTGCTCCTTTTAATTTTGATATCAATTTGTTTGTCATACAGACGTTAAAGTATGGGACCGCTAGTATTTCACCATTGCGACCTGAATGTCCATGTAACATATTGAATATAGTAACATTAAGGCTCCGTTCGTTTGACGGAAAATATTCTCCTTTTGGAAAATATTTTCCCGGAAGTCATTTTCCTGGAAAATATTTTCCCGGAACATAATTTTCCGGTGTTCGGCGACCAATATGAAAAAGTTTCGGAAAATATTTTTCGCCGCCGCCGGTCGGCGGCGGCCGGCGACCGGTGGCGGCGGCGTATGCCGGCGGTCGGCGACGGCCGCGGCCGGCGACCGGATGCGGCGACCGCGGCGGCGGCGGCGATGACCGGAGGCGGAGGCGGCGGCGGCCGGAGGAGGCGGCGGCGGCGGCCGGAGGCGGCGACGGCAGCGGCCGGAGGCAGCGACAGCCGGCGACCTTAGTGAAGAAGAAGAAGAAGAAGCTTCGGAAAATTATTTCCGCTTTTAAAGAAGCGAAAGTCATTTTCCATAGACTTAGGCTATTTTGTGAGGGGGGAAGGAAAATATTTTCTCACGGAAAACGTTTTCCGCCCCCCGAACACCGGAAAGCCCGGAAAATATTTTCCGGGAGAATATTTTCCACCAAACGAACGGAGCCTAAGTAAAAGATATCAACAAATAATCATGATATAACCAAATTAAAATTTACAAAGTTAGGAAAACTAATTAGCTTCGAACATCATCAAATGCGAAGTGTATAAATAAAAAACGTTGGCAACTAAATTTTCACAAGAAAAGTAAGGAAAATTTGAATATTTTTATTATAAAAATAATAAACGATATTCTACATAGGAATTCCTAGTGAAATAAGTATTGCGAATTTATTTAAAAATTCAAATTAAATATTGCATATTTTCGCTGATTATCCAATTCTCTTTATTATACATTGTCAGGAATGATAAGACATCTAATGACTTTTGCCGACACAAAAAGGTAGATATCAAATAATGGAAACTATAAAATTAGGAAGAATTTCCATAAAAAAAAGAAATTGAAAATTGGAATTTGATCTGAAGAAAACACTTCTACCTCTCTAAATTAGAGAAGAAAAGATGCAGAAGAGAGAAGAAAGCATTTTACTCTACATAAATAAGTTGCTTCTCTTTTCCATACCAAGTCGGGGGTACAAAGGTAAACATTCCGACAAATGAAGGAAAGCTATCAAGAGAAGAGAATTTATATTTTCACTTTGTACTTTCATGTTTCTAATTGATTCATATTATTTTACAGGCTCGAATACTCCATATACTTATATTATGATTCATTAAATATTGCAATTTTATGTCTCAATAAACTTAAATGACGAGGTTTGGATTTACTTCAAAAGAAATTCTATATAAACTCTAGCGGGAATTAATTGACGTGAATATTTATTTTGTTAAAATTTTCTGCATTAAATTTCTTCTGTGAAAATTCATATCAACATTAACATTTAGAGTAATATAACTTATGTAGTCTTGACCCATGCAACACATGGACATTTTGCTAGTTCTAGAAAGAGAAGGAGACTTCTTAGAACAGTCACTGCCTATGTATATTAATTCCTTCCTTTGAAAAAACCAGTTTGCTATTTTCTTTTTAATTCAATTCTTTTATGAAATGATCAGGTGGACAACATATTGACTCCGACCATGAGCACGCAATGATAATTAGGGGTGTGCAAAAGAACCAGAAACCGCCCTGAACCGAACCGAAGGTCCGGAACCGGCGGTTCTCGTGTGGACCGGTTCGGAACCGGCGGTTCCCGTGGGGACCGGTCCGGTTTCGGGTTCTAATTTACTAGATACAGTGAATACCGGTCCGGTTCCCGGTTCTAGGCATGGAACTGCCCACTTGCTCACTGTTGACACCTAAATTTTAGCGACCATTTAGTCGTAATTTGTATAGAAAATTAGGGATTAAATTTTTAACCCCTAAACAAAAATATTTAGGTTGCATAACATATAGTTTAAATTCATTTTAGATTAATTGCATTTTGCATCGGACCGGCGGTGACGAACGAGCTTAAATTTCATCGAATGGGACTCGGCTCGCTTGGAATGCAAGGGCCGGGAATTACAAGTCAAACGGGCTCGGTTGTTTTAATTTGAGCTTAATTCAGCCCATTATCCTTAATTAATTGAGCCCATTTAAATTAAATTAAAATCTAAGCCTAAGTCTAAGCCCATTAGGACTAGGAAGCCCGGTTAATTAACCTAGAGTTGCGATATAAATATATCGTTATGCATCATAATCAAAGGGGGACTCTCATAATTTCCGGAACACAATTCCTGAGAGCACGAGAGAGATTGACGGCTGAAAAAGAAGAGAAGTTCTGTCCTCCCGCGGTGGTTCCTTCGGTGCTTGGCAACCATCCATCATCGCCGCACCAACGCTTCCGTCGTTCGAGAGATGCGGCCATTGAAGACCCACTGCCAAAGCAATAAAATCTAGTCAACACTAGACATGATCAAGCGGTGGTTTTTGTCTTGATTGGTCCAAGCTGAGAGTGACAAAGGAGGGGAGATATTCACGATGAAAAGAAACGAAGTAGAGGCTGTGAATAAAAACATCAAGTGAAGACAAAGGGGTGTTGCTGCTTTGCTGTTCGCTGGTCCAATTTCTCGTTGCAGCTCTCGCCGTGCCGGTCTCTGTTTCCTACAGCGTTCTCAACATTCCACGAGCGTCCTTGAAGCTTTTCGCTGGTCTGGTTCGTTGGTGATCGTCCCGGTGTGTCAAGTGATCTCACTCAAACGGCAAGCTGAGTTATCTAAAGCTCTCGCTGGCCGCGTTGTGAGCACCTCACCGATACCGCGACAC